AGAAAAATCATCAATGTTCAACCTTCCATCAAGAAACCAAAAACCCCAAATTTCCATCAAACCTCGAAACCCCGAAAATGAAAATCTTTCAAACACAACCATCAATCTCCAAGAATTAGACAATCCGTGAGTTTCTAACTCACTCAACAACAACCAACACAAAATCCTAGCTTCCCTTACCTCGATGAGACGATTCCGAGCTCCGGGAAGAGAAGGAAGAAGAAGAAGCTTGAAGAAGAGCTCTGCACGGTTCAGCTAGCAATCCAACACCATTACTCAGCTCCTAAGATCACCACTGCCACCCAAGATCAGAGGAAAAAGGAAACAGGGAAAAGAGAGAGTAAAAGAGAATTGAGAGAAAGTGAGTTAAGAGGGAGAAAATGAGAAGTGAAGTGAGTAGGGAGAAGGAATATATGAACGGGGTCTCACAACCTCCCCAACAACAAGAGTTTTCGTCCCCGAAAACAGACTTACTTGTGAAAAGAAACAGATATTGCTCCCTGCACTACAGCTCAACCTCCCAAGTTGCCTCACCAGTAGCTGCATCCCACAACACCTTCACCAGGCAATAGACTTGCCCCTCAGCTCCTTCGGCTTATGATCAACTTCAGCTACTGGCAACTTCTCAAATGTCAGATTCTCCTTCACCGCACATCAGCTAGCTCAACCACATGACCAGGGTCATGGACATACCTCCCCAACAGGGACACATGAAATACATCGTGTAGGTTTGAAAGAGACGGTGACAAAACCAACCGATATATGAAATGTGCCCTAATAGTATGATATATGTTATATACTTTCATATCAAAACATGGATAACAAAAATACATATGAAATCCAAATAAATTTTTAGTTAGTTATATTCAATCACAATAAATTCATATCTTCTTTTATTAATTTCTTAATTATTTAATTAATAATGTATTTAATGTTTACATCATATTTTATTTATACTATTTAATTTTCCTGCAATATATGGAATACTCGCTATATTTTCCATATATGGTTTAGTTACCTTTCATAAATTATCGTGATAAATAAAATCTTTCACTCAATTCACTAAAAAAGAGAGAAAAAAAAAAAAAACCTTTCATTTTCAATATCAATCTCATTCATATCCTCGCTGGGGAAAAGGTTGGATTTTACAATCTAGTCTATTGTAAGTTTCTCTTCATTCTTGATCTTTACATCATTAATTAAGTTTAATCAGTGTTTGTTTGCTTTGATGATAGTAATTCTATTCCTTCACCATTTATTCTTAGACTAGTCTTAGGACTGAAAATGGATTCTCTGCAGTGGAAAATCACACGCATTCACTATAGTCTTTTTTTTATAGATGTTTTTCTTTTAGAGTACTATTTTTTAGTTGTTGAATATAGATCTGAAGCCTCAGATTTTAAATGAATGTCTATAAATTTGATTTATTGAGATAAAATGTGGTCTCCGATCTTTTTATCCGTAGAAATTAAACTTGATATATATAAAAAATTAAATAATTTATGCACATTGTTCAACCAGTTAAACTAAATTTCATGATATTCGATCTTCATCGAATGATTACATATTTTTGTTTGTTTCTTATAAATTACTGATTGTGTGTTATTACAACTAATTGAATACAAATAATTTAGATTTGACTTGGGACGAGTCATAACTTCTATCTTATTCTATTCATTGCAAAAATTGTGTTATTACAATTAATCAATTACTGAAAATCTAGATTTGACTTAGGAAAAGTTATAATAATCCCTATCTTATTCTAATCATTGGGAGAATTGCGTGTTATTACAATTAGCCAATCACGGATAACCTAGATTTGACATGGAGCAAGCTATAGCCTCTATTTTTCTTTGATTCATAATAATTACAATACTTCCAACAAAATTTAAAATCTCATGCTATTATCTCAACTTCACCACTTAGCCAATCTCATTGCCTCTATCTTATTCCAATTATTGAAAGATATTTGCAATCAATACTTTTATCTTATTTTAGTGCTTAGGAGATATTATTGAACACTTTTTTATACAAAGAATTATAAATCATTCTATAAAATTATTCTACTGATTTTTCTATTTTTCGACTTTCTTTGTATAATTATGGAATAGATTTTATAATTCTAGGACATTAAATATATTTTTTTTATCTAATATTTTAAGACCAATGAAATTTTATAGGATTAGTAATCTTATAAATTGTGTGTAGTTATACTATCACATGCAATTGATATTTATTTACAAGACTATTTGACACATTCTGTTTATAAACTTATTAAATATAATCGTTAAACTATTTAATATTTTTCATGCATCTTAGTCGTAGATGTATAGTATGTACAAAGTTTTGAATTTAAATAATGATATCATTATTGTAATTTTGATAAATAAAAAATATGTAATTTTATAAGCTTCGTTTATTGATGTTTTTAAATATATTTATACTACAATTATGACAAAGTATCAAATGCATTTTAATTCATATGAAATTTTATAAATTTATTATTTTAGACAAAATTTCAATTTAGTATATAGATTGTTGAAATTTAATGTGCACTAAAATGATATTAAATAGATGAAGGAATTTATAAACTTATAAACTTTCAATTTCTACCTATGAAGCTTAGCTAGATAAACTTTTTCCTCTTTCTCTCTCTTTCTTTTGTATTTTATAGGGAGGGATGGAGTTTATGATTAGATGGAAAATGTGTGGGAAGCAAACTTGCGTCACCTAACAACATTCTCCTGTGGAAAAACTAGATGAAATAATGAATATGATTGTGATGTGAAGAAACAAAATAGAATGAAATACATTTTACATAAAAAGGTTTAAGCCAATTTCATTCTATTTTCATCAGTCTAATGATAGAGATTCCTCATCAAGCCAATTATCTTTCAAATTTTCTCAACTATATTCAATTCTTGTGATTGTGAAAACTCTTACACATGTTAATTGCCAAGCTGATGTGTTGAAAAATTGTCCTTTCCTTATCAGTTATCACTTATAGGTGTCAGAATATCCCTACATTGCGAGGAGTATGGATTTTGGAAATGAAGCACCCAATATAAAGGTTCATGACTTCGACTTAAACATTCCATGTGTGGAGGAATTTGATGATGATGAGCATGCTGAAAAAGAGTTTTCATTCCCCATTCTCATCAATACTCTCGAGGCTTCTCAAAATAGCATTGAAGTAAGTCCTAGAAATGATTAAGTGTAGCTATATAGGTTTATCATAAATCCAAGTAACAACTTTCTTTTTTTCTTTCACATCATTCTTTTTCATTTAACTCTTTTGTATAGAATATTAAATCAATATTGGAGAAAGACAAAGAAAACGATGTTGTTCTGTAATGAGTGTAAAAATAATTGATGTAAAAATGCTTATGATAACTACGCTCTTTAAGCATATATGATAAAGAGTTTGATCTCCTTGCCTATGAAAGAACATTTGGTGAGAAAAGTTACTTGAAGATATTAGAGAATACCTTAGGTCGAAAAATAAATAAAATGTGAAGATAACTTCCATTATTCTCCATCACATTGTCACATGCATACCATTGTCAAGTTATGATATTTTATTCTCTAAGAATGAGACGTGGTGTAACAAACAAACAATCATGTAAATGTAAATAGCATTATTCACAGCTAAGCTAAAGTGTGATTGTAAACAGAACATGGACAATGAGGATGCAAATAACGGGGACAATGAAGTTCATCAACCCTTTGCAGTGGATACAACTATTCAATCAAATTCTGCTTTCGGAGAAGTTACCTCTGAAGAAATGAGGGAGGTTGAAGCCGGGTATATTGCATCTGTCTCCTTTGCACCGGCAATAATCTCTCAACGTGGCCGCCGCCGCCGCCGTCGAGGTAGAGAAGTCAAGCAGAGTATTGATCCAGATAGATTCTGCACAAATTATAATTGCAAGACAAGAAGGACTCCCTTGTGGCGCAAGGGACCTCTAGGACCAAAGGTAAATAATGAACAAATTATTACAACACATGCACTTATATACCATCAATACATGAATGTAGTTATTATATATATAAGTTAATTAGAATGTACTAAGGGACATAAGTTCACCTAATACTCCTAGAATCAATTTTGGATGTTAAAATAATATTTGATTACGAGAAATCATATCTCATAAATACATATTAATTTTTAGTTATCAACTTTAAAATATTATATATACTATATTTATGAATTAAGAAAATATCTTATATATAGTTAATTTTTCTAGTAACAACTTTAAAAGTTATATCCAAGATAATTTCTAATTGTTGACAACCATATTGAATGAAAATTTATAAACGTTTATTTTATATAATATTGATACATGCATGTGTTATTGGATACAATATAAAAGCTCATTTCAATATATATATATATATATATATATAAATGATGATGCATGGTTAAGTGGAGTGCAATGAGTTTGTTTGGATATTTTTTCTGCAGACTTTGTGCAATGCTTGTGGCCTTCAATACATTAAGACGGTGTCGGGTAGAGGCAGTGATGAATTTCCAGATGAAGGTGATGCTTCCACTGCTGATGGTGATGTTTCTGCTGGTCCTGTCCCACCTGAAACCATGGAAGAGGATTCAGATCTCTAAATGAGGACCAATGTGCTGATCAAACTTTTGTGCTTCATGATCATTTAACTCCATATTTTGAAATACTTAATTTGACTATTTGCGTTTCTCTTGCATTTTGGGATCAAGTCATGTTCCCGTGACGTTATATATGTGGTGGTTTATCAATAACTTATATTTTGTTTTTGCTGAACAGTATATGGTGATCCTTGGAGACTAGTCTTATAAAATAAATAATATATAATCATGCATATTAAATCTAATCTTGGACTATATATATGGTGTTGTCACCTAAATGATTGAGGTTTTTCTTAAAAAAGCTTGTATCCAAATTTTTTCAAGATATTAAGGAAAAGAAAATGTGGTTTTAGATCCAGTATTATCTGTCAAACATGATTAAGATCTCTATATTTTTATATTGATGAATTTGATTATCAATTTTTTTAAAAATATATAGATTTAGTTCTTAATCTCTAAGAATTTATCGTATATATTTTTTAAAATTATGAGTGATTAAATCTATGTGTATTTTAAAATTTGATGATTAAATTTATGAATATAAAAAGTACAGAAATCTTAACCACTTTTAACTATAAGTATAAGAATTAAAAATACTTTTTTTTTCCTTCTAAATATATTAATTATGTTGTGCAAGCCTTTCTACATGCCGTGTGACGCATGAAGATCTATTAAGTCATTTTTTTTTCTTCATATTTTTGCAAATATGTCATTTTGTGTGATTTTTGCACAAATTTTTATTGCATGTATTATGCTATCCATATCAACCGGCTAAAATTTCTAAATCGGAGAAATGAATATAAGACTAAAATGATGGGTTTGTTGATAACAACCGTAACAAGAATTCTAATTACAAGTTCGTTTAGCACAAGTTGTGTTTTGAATAGAGATTATTACGTGCCACCACACTAAATATAGAGGTAAAGTCCACGTAACATGAAAACAAAACACAATCAAACCTGCTTGTTGAAACGTTTCTTCACCTTTGTTTCCACCAAGCTCTGGATATTCTGTTACCTTTCTCTTGTCTTTTCTCCATCCCTCTTATACGTTGCCATTAGTTATCTCTTTTTTTTTTCCCTCCCTTTCAATGGGAGACCACTCATTCTTTAAGATTCCAAAAAATAAATCTTTGAAAGACGTGACCAAGGTTTACAAATCGTTGGTATCCAAACGGCACCATGACAAGAAAAACCCTGAGGTAATCTTAAATCTGTGCATGCTCCTCAACTTAATCTTCTCGAATAACACACATATAATATTGATATAAAGTTTTGAGTTTATGAAACTCATCATCAGCCAAAGAAAAAATGAATCATATACAATCATATAAAGCTACAATAAACCAACAATAACGTTGCATGTTTCAATAAACCAACAACATGCATGATGTTATGAGATGTTCTCATGATCTTTGATGCATGCAGGAGACATCACCGGGGTTTGAGTATAATGATAATAAAAGAGTGGATGAAGACATTTGGAGCCGTAAATTTTTGTCAAAAGCTGCAAGTAGAAGATCTAAAACGCCAACACCAAAATCAAGGCCTCTTTCAAGACATGGAAGCAGGCGATGCACAACACCTACCTCTCTTTCGAGAAGTATCAGCCGTAAGAGTGCTGCAGAAATTGCTGCATCATCTATCAAAAGGATTATGAGCAGAAGGAGTTCCTCAACTTCTTTTCCAAGGAGCATGAGATTGGACATCTCTGAACCTGAGTTATGCAACCCAGCAGGCTCTCCAACAATAGGTGCAGGCATAAGGGGTTCCTCAACTTTTTCAAGGAACATGAGATCTGAAACCTCTGAACCTGAATTATGCAACCCATCAGGCTCTCCAACAAAAGGTGCAGGTGCAGGCATAAGGAGCGCCAAAGAGAGAGAACATGTCCCTCCAGTCTCATTGTCAAGCAATCTGAGCCGTAGGGCCACGACACCTATCATATTTTCACAGACAACAGCTAGAAGGAAACCCCCAGAAGTTGAGAGAGTGCTCCATTGCACACTCGAGAACTTATGCTTTGGATGCATAAAAAAGATAAAACTTACCAGAGATGTTATCAAGCATCCGGGGTATGTTTCTGCCATGTGATCCTACAGATGAATATTGAGTTGCTAAATTTTTTCTAGTTACTAGTTATGCTATTACGTATATATATGATGATGCTATGGAGTATGCTAGTATAGATAGGCAGTAGAAATTCAATGTTTTTTAAAGTGACTAAAAATATGCTTAGAAGAACATTACTAATTTAGTTTTGCTACAGGGTAATTGTCCAAGAGGAGGAAGTTTTAAAAATTGAAGTGAAACCAGGATGGAGAAAAGGAACAAAGATTACATTTGAAGGAGTAGGTGATGAGAAACCTGGATACCTCCCAGCTGATATAGTATTCTTGATTGATGAAAAGCAACACCCTTTGTTTACGAGAGATGGCAATGATTTGGAAATATGTGTTGAGATTCCGCTAGTAGATGCACTTACAGGCTGTTCCATATCAATCCCTCTATTAGGAGGGGAAAATATGACTCTGTCATTCAAGAATATTGTCATATATCCTGGATATGAAAAGATTATTAAAGGTCAAGGAATGCCAAACCCCAAAAATAACGGGATAAGAGGTGATCTTCATGTCAAATTCCTCGTTGATTTCCCCACAGAATTAAGTGAAGAACAACGGAAAGAAGCTTCTAATATCCTGCAAGGTTGTTGCTAATGATCATAGTTGTATGCAGATGCACTAATTTGCTAAAAACAAGTGAGGACAAAAGAGTATTTTATTATCAGTTTAAAAAACTTCTGGTATCTTGCATGCATAGTCAGTCCTACCCAACCCAACAATACCAATATCAGACAACCAATTCACTGGAGCACAACAATAATGCATGGATGCATTTCGTTAGAAGAGAATGAAGATGTTGAGCTTCCATATGGGGGAGGTCAGGGCTGTAGAAAAAGAAAGGGAACTTCCACAGTTTCACTTACCATTTAAGGCCAAAACAGGGATTACAGAATGCAACATCTACATTGTTAGCACTAGGTTACTCATTCCTAGGACATAGCTGCTACTTGTCCAAATATTTGAGGAGATACTGTCTCCAAAGATATATGTATCAATCTATAACAGTAGTCAACAAATTAATGTAACTAGAGTTTTCATCAGGTCTCTGTTATGTCCATTTTCCTTTTCTAAACCAAGCAAGACAAGAGAGGGATCGCAAAATTAAAGTGAAAGTAATAGCAACCTTTTTATATCGGCTATAGGGATACGCATCCATGTTCAACGACTGAATATGAAGCCACACTAAACTCCGCTTGAGAGTTGAACCTGTTGTGTTATAAGCCTATATTTATATGTTCCCCCTCGCAAGAGCTCAGAAAATCAGAATCAGATTAACTATTCAGCATTTCATGCAAAAGGGGAGTGTCAAAAGAACAAATACCCTTGTTTATAAAAACTGAATTCCTTAGACAGGCAGCTCCATTCCATCAGGAAGCAGCCTTCCTGAGAAATTAAGATACCAACTTACGATCACAACTCACAAGTGGGTATAAAATCATAATGACCCTAGAAATTTATGCATAGCAAAAGCAAAATGTACTTGAACAAAGTGTACTTCATTTCAAGTTATTTACTTTAGCCTTTTAAATTATGTTATCATACACATAGAATTGGAGGAGAAAAAACAACCCCCATTGCATCACTGGTAAACTTCCTCTATATTTTCACACAACTTAGAAGTTTAAATTGTACCAACTCCTACCATAACTACTATTTAAGTAGAGTATATAAAGAATTTTCAGTATCGTCCGTAGTATTTTGGATAAAATGTTAATCTTGTTTATGGGATGGAATTTACATTTTAGATGCATTTCAATAAAATTCAATAATATTTAAAAAAATTTAAAAGTAATAATTCATTTATAAGTTTAATCATAAACATCATTGAAATATGTTAGAAAGAATTTATTTAAAAATTAAAAATTACTTTTATAAGATCAAATTAACTCTTCTAAATAATCCTTGACCAATATTAAAACAATACTTAATAAATAAAAATCACGTCTCGTAAGTACAAATTAGTCTTAATTGTTGATCTTAGAACACTACATTGGTTATGTTCATGGAAGGAACTTTTTTTTTCTTTCTAAATGCTCCCTTTTATATCGATTGATTCCAATTCGGTGTAACTTTCAGAAGACGAGGCTCGCATAAATTTTCGGCATTTATAAAGCAAAAGCTACGAAGAATATATATTATACAAACATTTTAACCTTTCCATTTGGACTGACCACAAAGCAGTCCAGTGACCTATATAATATCAGGAACATTGTTGCTATATAAACAAGTTTTCCACTTCACCGCTATCTGCCATTATCCTGATTCTCACGGTTTTCATCTCCAGGTGTTTCAGTAAAAACTTGTCCTTGGTCTCTCACGTCTCTGAACATGGAAAAGAAGGAGTTAAGGCCCTCAGATGAAGCACCTCCTAAGATCCATAATAACAAAGAACTGAATGAATTCATGGATCCAGGGTTGGGACCCCTTTCTGCTTGCCCAGGGTTGGCAACCCTGTCTTGGTTATTTTCTGACCGCCCTTGAGGGTCACCAACTGCTGCTCCATTCTGAGCCATTGATTGATCAAAACCAGGTCTCAACCCTGCTCCAGTAGGAAAATCTGTGTTATTTAATCCCTGGTTTCTTGTGTTCAATCTTGTGATGTGGAACGTTGATGCAAGAATGGTGGAAGAGGTAATGTGGAAGTCTGGGTGTTGTTGAAGTTGTGACCGTCGGTTTTGCATGTACCTTTGTAATGCTGGTACCTAATAGTAATAAACATAGTTAAATTTCAGTTGAGTAAACTAGAGCAAATTAATAATGAACATATATAAATCTTCTAAAACAATAATTGACATTTTAAATATAAACAAGAATTAAACTCTGAAAATCATATTCCTTTTCCTAATTCTAGAATGAGATAGTTTGTCCCAAACCTCACTTGGCTCACGTTTCCTGATACCCTCATCAAGTCTAACTTTAGAAAAAAGATACATCCAAGATAAAATAAAACCATATTGGGATCGATAATAAGTCAACTATCATCACTCATCACCTCAAACCGATTCCAAAAGTACAGGATAAGGTGTTGCATAAAAGCTGCGGTTGTAGAGAGAGCCAAATATGAAAAACCTGGAAATTTAAATTTCATTATTTCCAAATAAAATTAACTAAATCCAATTAAGGCAACAAAAAAAAAAAGAGTATGGGCATACCATAAGCATAAGAGAAGAAATATATGTGAAAGACCAGGAAATACAGCAAAAAGAAGCGAGGAAAGAACTTCATTGATATTGGTGTTCGGACACTGCAAGTTGTAATAAGCACACTCATATTAGATGACTATCAAACGCTAGATCACAACCCCACAAATATGCATGAAAATGTACGATAGATACAGCTCCAGAGATTAAGATAACAAACAAAAATGTAGAAACTTTTGGACACATCCATATTTCTCTTCTGCAAACCTTCCTCAGGGATCAAGTGCTAACAGTGTAATTTACCAGATTAATCATGTGTCAGTTAAATGCAATCATCACATCCATCGATTAATGGATTGGCATATAATAAACACCATTAAAAGGCATTCCAGTAATGCATGGAAAAAAAGGCAGTGTTGCCAGAGTTGTATTCCATTTAACCAATCCAAAAAAAGGCAAAGTTCATTTTGATTTGGCCTCTGAAGGGAAGAGTCCAATGGCCAGAACCAAAAAAAAATAAAAAATAGTAACTTATGATGCGACAGATGACTATATACCTCACAATACATCTGGAAGCAAAAATTACAATATACAGGCTACTTGAATTGGATAAATATGCAACTTAGTGATCCACTTGCATTGGCTTCAGAACACATTCAAGACCCAACTGGTTATAAAACCAAAAATAATTTCTGAGAAACAAAGCCACCGGACATACTGTCTTAATAGCATACTTTATTAATTACATAACATTGAGAGAGAGAGAGAGAGAGAGAGAGAGAGAGACCTAATAAGAGTAAAAAGCTCACACAGCCACACAAGAATCAAGACCATGAAGGCAAGTAGCTGATCATCATAAAACTCAAAGAGAAAAAACAGAATACCGATCATAATCTGCAGAAATCAATAAACAATTTATCAGCAAAGCTAATACAATAAGAAATAGCAAAAAAGAGAATGGTTCAAATAGAAACTTTAGACAAAAGTAATCAACAATAATGAGTGCTTACAGGAACAAAAACTAGGGATTCAATCACATGTACAAAGATCAGCTGAAATGTAGGAAGGCGATGCCGCGCATGGTGTTGAAGCTGCACTGTAAAGGACTAGCAGATGTGAAAAACTAATTGCATCCCATATGCAGAAAAGCATGGGAAAACCAGGAACAGCATTGGCATATTAGGCAGAGGCAAATGAATTTATATGGATAGCACACTTATTCCATGAGTTGGTAGAAGAAGGACCTTTTGAATAAACCTTCCAATCACAAAGTGATAGCCTACCTGACCACCCTCACTATCTACTGATTGACTCAATTTATTTTAAGTGAATCTAAAAGCAAGCAATTAATACATGGGCAATGGACCAAATGACAGGATAGATGCAATAAAAGCAGGAATTAGTTACTAAAACAGTTTTTACATCAAGAAATCTCTATATAATGATCAAACAATTCCTACCTGTGAATTTTAGCATGCGAGTCTGTGTTTCTCTTAATGTAAATGATACAGACATTGTCGTAGTAAAAAACACAAACAATGACATCATAAGTACGCCACACTTTGTTACAAGGTAGTCTGCACAGACAAAATGATACATGTTAGAAGCCAAGATTATAAGTTCTGAATTACATTTCAGATTACAAAAAATAATATAATGCAAGCCGGAAAAGGAATACAAAATAGAAACACCTAATTTCAAAGAGATGGACACTTTGGAGCAAGATAAGGCTGAAGAGTCATATTTTAAACTAAGACTTTTTATAAAATCCAAATATATAGTTGTTACCCTATGGATAGTAACGCCTTATTTGACAAATTTAGCCGCCCCATCTATCAGCAGAACTTACATATCATTCTTGCTCAGCTTCTCTCCAAATATTTTGCATCTAATTACTTTTATTCCAAACCCAGCTTCATCTACTGGTCATTCTTGTCTATCCTTTATATACTCAACCCACCTTGTTGAACTATGTGCCAGTTTTTGTTCATTCCATTCAACCGTTCAAATATCTTCATGTGCATCCTTAAATTCAGACATCCAATTTAAGTATTTAACAACACATCCAAGCTACACCACTTTATAAGTAATGCATAGAATGTGCATGGCACTACTACAAAACTTGCCCTTGTGTGTCAAATGCTTCATTCCATAAAATTACACTCCAGAGTCCATAAGCAATCGTTATTTTCTCTTTTACAACACACAAGTCAACATCTAGTAATAAAGTGATATTAAAAAAATGCAACCCTTATACTTAACAGGTTTTAATGTCAATTTGTGTTCTTCATTCTGACAAAACATAGCAGTGAAGGTACATCAAGGATTAAGCAGAAAAAATATTCGACCAAGCTAATCTAAAATTTCAATAAAATCAAGAACTTTATGCTGCACATTCCCATATACGACCAACTGAGATTATTCGGCAAACAGGAGAAAATCTCTCCACATAACGGGGCTCAACACAGTAAATAGAAGGATAAATCAACAACCTCCAAATCTAGCTGGGCCTTCCGGAGCTTCTTGTGCATAACTAAGGTTATAGAATTCCTTTGTTTGATAGTTATAAAGATAACCTGCCATGAAGTCCAGAAAGAATTTGAGTCATAATTAAATCCTGAAAGTTCAAAGGATGTGGATGACAATGTTCAAAACAGGGGTTAGTGGACAGTTATATAAATTAGTTTATCCGGAAAACAGGCAGTTACCTTGACCAGGAGAACTCAATAAACTGTTGATTAAAATCGTATCATATCCAACAAATCTGTTTATGAGTAGTTGCTGCCACCTAGAAATGGAAAAAAAAATATATATATTCAATTGAAAAACACAAGATAAAATCTTAATAAATTATCAAAATTGATATATAACATCAATGAAATTCAGAGAACAATTTCCTA